CATAGGTAATTGGTCGTGTGTCATCCTTCATCCTAATTTCCTTCATTCCTTTCCTTCCTGGAGGCTACCTGGAGGGCATTCACTCTCTTCCTCATTCCTTCATCTGTCCTTCATTGCTTTTTTCTTCCTTTCATCTAGTCCTTCCTTCATTGATTAGCCTGCTCTTCCCTTCTTGCTTCTGGTTTCTATAATTATATATACACATATATAGTCACTAGGATACTTTCTTAATCTGCTATTATCACCTTCAGCAAGCTTGTCTTGTGTGCGAGTGTGTGGTTTATAATTTTTTGAGTCAGGAGTGGGCAGCTGTCAAAATGGACATATTGTCTCATTAGTCACTGCCCCCTACCGCCTGTCAAAACAATGGGGTCGGTGCTGCTTCCCCCTCCATTCTATCTAATTATCTTTCTCCTCATTCTATCTCTTTCAATCTGTCTCTCTTCTCTCTCTCTGTTCTATCTCTGTCTCACAGGTACAACTAAATTCAACTATTACATAGTTAAATTACCTAGGATAACCCAAATAACCAGACAAAGTGCTATACTCTGCTTGAAGATGTGAGTAAAGGTGATGATGGACACCAGTCTTGTGGCTCTTTCTCTGAGACAGAGATAGACGGATAGACAGGGAGTTTGGCAAGACAGACAAATAGACAGAAAGACAAAATGTTCCTCCTCCTCCTCTCCTCCTGTTCCACCTCCTCTCCTCTCTTCTTCTTCTTATTCCTCCTCTCCTCCTCCTCTTCCTCCCCTCTTCTCCTCCTCTTCCTCTCTCTTCCTCCTCCTCTCATCCTTCCTCCTGGCTTCTTTGTACAGATGGGACAGCTGCCCCCTCCCTCCACCCTCGTTTACGTCCATCAATGGTCAGCTCTTATCAGATGTTATCTCCCCTTATCTTGTCACTGTCATGGGGTGAACTGTTTTCATGGGTGGCCCCTCAAGGGAACATATTATTAATATTATTATTATTAGGTATTCTCTTCTTCTTCTTCTTCTTCTTCTTCTTCTTTCTTCTTCTTCTTCTTTCGTCTTCTTTTTCTTCTTCTTCCTCATTCCACTTCCTCCTCCTCCCTCCCTCCTCTCCCTCCCTCCTTCCTCCTCCTCCACTCCTTCCTCCTCCTCCCTCCTTCTACTTCCCTCCTCTTCCTCCTCCTCCCTCACCTCTCCCTCTTCTTCCTCCGCCTCCTTCTTCCTCCTCCACCTTCCTCCTCCTCCTCCTTTCCTTCCTCTTCCTCCTTCCTTCTCTTCCTCTTCCTTCCTCCTCCTCTTTCTTCCTCCTCCTTCTCTTCCTCCTCCTCTTCTTCCTCCTCCTCTTCCTTCCTCCTCTTCCTCCTCCTCCTCCTCCTCCATTGCTTTTGTGTCCACACACAATAATTTGGCTCTCAAATCCTCGAAAGCATGAAATTGCATCTCATTGGACACTTTCCATCGTGTTATGCATCTTTGCGGAAAGAGAAGGAGTCCCAAGATTTGAGGGAAGTCCACTCTATTTCTTACCGCTAGACATGCTGAAAAGGACGACTGAAATGGTATTTTTCCACAATGCACCATGGCTCCCCGATTTATTTTGTATGGTGCACCACTGACCATGGAGACCCATTCTCTCACATGTGGGCCCTACCAATCTGAGTTTCTCATGTTTGATTTGAAGCCGCTAGAATTTATGCGTATAGATACGTCAAACTCGGTATCTCCTATGAAGCACATATACCGACCGCGACAGTCAAATGGTTAATGATAAGTTTTACACTCAGAGGTTTGGTATGGGCAATGGGAAATCCTCTTTCACCTGTTCTTAGTAACCTATACATGGAATTTTTGAATCAAGGTTGATTAACACCAATCACTCCTATAGAGCTAAATGGATCTATATGTTGATGATATTTTGGTGTTCTTGATGCCCAAAAATGTAGATATACACCATTTTCTTGGAAAATTAAATAGTTAGCCCTTCTATAAACTTTCTGTTGAGTTTGAAGAAAATAACTCATTGCTTTTCTTAGATGTTTTAATTATTAAGGGTAATAATGAAATTCAAATTTAAAATTTACCAGAAACCTACAAATAACTTGTTCCTATTGTCCACTATTATTACTCGCATCAGATAGGGTCAAACTGTCTGTTTTTCTATCATGTTTTTGAGATCTTTAACGAATTGTAAGTCCTGATTCATAGATGGGAAAATATCCAAAATTTATGAAATAGGTAATGATTTAAAATACCCAGAAAATGTAATGATATATCTTTTAAAGTTGCTTGGAACACTTTTTATAATCCAAAAAAGGGAACCAGCATTATTCAACTAAAATATGTTGGTTCTCCCTCTTACCATGAAAACTGGGTTGATATGCCTTCTCTTCTTAAGACTTTTAATAGTAAAGTTGTATTCAAAATCTTGATACAGTAAAAAAACTTTTGATTAAGAATTCCCCCCAAAATGCTGATGGGATGTGTCTATAAGATTCTTTGTAAAAATTGCGAAAAGTTTATTACGGTCAACTGGCTAAAAATCTCGAACTAAGATTAAAACAACATAAATATAGATTAGAACTGGACAAGATTCAATGCTCTATTTATTCATGTAAGAGATTTTAACCATCCAATTGAAAGGGTTTTTCAAAAAGTTGGAAAGTAGTATCAAGCATGTCCATGGTCGACAGGATATAATTGATCTTGTTTATAAAAAAGCAGTTTTGACAATAATATGAATATTTCCTTTGGTTTATTTAATTAGATCCATTTATAATAATAGAATTTGGGTAGAATTTAATATACACTGGACAAATAATAAATAGCTTGGTGGTGAGTTTTGCAAAGGACCTGTCCAAGTTGGCTCGCCGCGCATCACGTGTTTAACGTTGTGGGATCTGATGTGAGGTGCTGGCCGGCCCATATTAGCCTTCTTGGATGCTTCACTTTCATAGTTCCTTGATAAATGTGAGTAGTCACCGAAAGCGCTTGGAATTTCTCTCATTCTTTCAGAGTGGTTGTTTTGCATATATATTATATATATATATATATAATATATATATATAATAAATATATATATATATATTTCTATATATATATATATATATATATATATATATATATACATGGACCCCGGGCATAATGATCACCTCCCAATGCGACAATTATGTAAGTGTATTTATGTAAGTGCTTTAGTAGTGTTATGTTTGGGGGTCTGAAATGGACTAATCTACTTCACAATATTCGTTATGGGAACAAATTCGGTCAGTACTGGAAACCTGAACATACTTCTGGAATGAAAAAATATCGTTAACCGGGGGTCCACTGTTTATATTATATATTTTATATTTTTTATATATATATATGTTTTGTGTATATATATATATATATATATAATATATATATATATATTTATATTATATATATATAAAATATATATATATATATATATATATGTGTGTTTATATATATATATATATAATATTATATATATATATATATATATATAAATATATATTATATATATATATATAATTTTATTAATATATATATGTCGTGCCGAATATATAAAACTGGTCAATTAGCAAGAACTGTTTAAAAATTAAGTCCTTTCTGAAATTTTCTCTTATACGTTTAAAGATATTTTTTTTTTCATTAATGTTAAGTAAAAAAAATTTAATTTTGCACCAAAAGAATCTTAGAAAACTTCCTAACCTTATTATAACAAAAGCAATTTTTTTTTGGGCCTAACCCCACTAAATATTTTTAAATACGTTTACAGTAATTTGTGCTAAACAAACACCATCAAATATATTTTTTCGTTAGGTTCAGAATGATTTTGGTGAAATTATTGCATACACAAATTTTCACTTGCCCTATAGGGCAAGATGAGCGTTGCTATTTAAGCCAAGATGGCAAGTTCTGCCTATTCGGCACGACATATAAATATATATATATTTATTATATATATATATATATATAATATATATATATATATATTTTTATATATATATATATATATATGAAATATAAATACAGTGGACCCCCGCATAACGATTACCTCCGAATGTGACCAATTATGTAAGTGTATTTATGTAAGTGCGTTTGTTACGTTTTATTTTTGGGGGTCTAAAATGGACTAATCTACTTCACAATATTTCTTATGGGAACAAATTCGGTCAGTATGGCACCTGAACATACTTTTTGGAGTAAAAAAATATCGTTAACTGGGGTCCACTGTATGTATATATATATATGTATAAAATATATATATATATATATATATATATATAATATAATATATATATATATATATATATATAATATATATATATTATATATGTATATATATATATATAATATATTATATTTTAAAATATATATTATATATTATATATATCCTAGGTAGTGGGTTGGTAGACAGCAACCGCCCGGGGAGGTACTACCGTCCTCCCAAAAGTGAGTGTAAAACGTAAGCCTGTAATTGTTTTACATGAGGGTAGGATTGCGGGTGTCCTTTTTTCTGTCTCATGAACATGCAAGTTTTTCAGGTACGTCTTGTACTTCTACTTACACTTAGTCACACTACACTACATGTACAAGCACATATATGCACACCCCTCTGGGTTTTCTTCTATTTTCTTTCTAGTTCTTATTCTTGTTTATTTCCTCTTATCTCCATGGGGAAGTGGAACAGAATTCTTCCTCCGTAAGCCATGCGTGTTGTAAGAGGCGACTAAAATGCCGGGAGCAAGGGCTAGTAACCTTTTTCTCCTGTATATATTACTAAATGTAAAAGGAGAAACTTTCGTTTTTCCTTTTGGGCCACCCGCCTCGGTGGGGTACGGCTGGTGTTTTTGAAAGAAAGAAAGAAAGAATATATATAAATATATATATATATATATATATTATATATATATATATATATATAATATTATATATGAAATGAAAAATATGAATGTACGTATTGACCAATTAGTAAAAACACAACCATAAATTAGTAATAATAATAATAATAAAATTATTATAGAAATGATAAAATAAAACTGTCACAATAGTAGGTGACTTTTTTCAAAAAGACCTTTGGCTCTGCATAGCTTTTTAAGCAGTGTATAAGTTAAGACTGTTTGACATTGAATAGTTGAAGTTAAGATTATTTTAATGCTAAATTTAACACGATTAAAATGTCTGAAAACAAGATTATGACCATACTTTAAATTATAGTAAAGAAGCTGTAGAAGACCATATACACCATTCATAAGTCCAAGCTGAACTTCTATATTTTTCAGAGTTACTTTCTGTGCTGAATGATCCGTGTGGATTTAGCACTTTTTTACATTAATGTAATAATAACCAAAGTTTATTTATAAAGCCTCCTCTGCAGGTGGAGCTGGAGTCAGTCTGTCAGTGGAGTGGCAAGAGGACCACGAGTGACTGGCAGCACCTCAGCTCTGCCAGCAAGGTGCACCAGTGTCCCCACTGTGCCTACAACACTTCTAATATCTATACTCTCAGGAGACATATATTAAAACATACTGGGGAAAAACCATTTTCTTGTCATTACTGCTCTTATAGTACAACAAGAAAAGAGCTCCTTAAGGAACATATTAATATACATACTGGTGAAAAGCCATTTTCTTGTCCATTTTGTACCTACAATACTTCCCATAAAAATATATTAAAGGTTCACATTCGTAAACACACAGGAGAAAAACCATATGCTTGTACATACTGTACATATCGTTGTACAACAAAGGCAAATTTAAATAGCCATATGTTGACGCATAAAACCAAGGCTTATACTGCTTAGTATGGCTATCAGCAGTTGGGTTCTGTACCATAAGGTGAAACTGGTGAGTACTCTTCTAACCAGTAACAATAATACAATACAAACACACAGCACAACATTTGCCTCACAGAAATAGTGAAAATACAATATACTGTATTATTAAAACTTGAAAATTGTATGCTTCAAAAACATTCTTAGTACACAACACACAATATTTAGTTTGCAGTCCTGGAATTAATCATCTTATCATTCTCTTTACAATCATGCCATCTTGCCTTTACTCTTACCTTGACAAATGGGAAATGCTAAACTTGAAAGGATCATCCAATGTCTGGGGAATGAGAAGTAATTAGATATGAGCTAAGGAAGAGGAGGGTCATTCAAATTGCTTGAATCAACAGTCCTTCAGCAGCATTAAAGCACCTCCTCCCTTCCTTCCCAGTTCTTTAAGGGTTAAATCTTCTCATACACACACCTGTACATTCCATATCTGCAAGGTTCACAAAGATTCAATGGTCCAGATATTGATATAACATTTTCTTTTAGTTCCACAGACTCATGCTTCAGTATCAGTCTTAACTGTAAGCTGTAGATGTCCTTGCTTACACTACCTCTTTTCCCATCTCTATTAAATTTGATATTACAATCCTGAAATTAGTGAGTTTTCTGTGCCTTCAAATTACAAACCCTAATTCTTTACCTTATACCTTTCAAACATCAGGTAAAACTGCTTGAAGACAAGGAACATTTTCATCTTCCTTTCACTGTCACTTATTAAAACTCCTGATGAATGTATTGATTAAGAGGTTGTAACTTTAAACGGCTGGTTAATACACCTTATTCAGTACAGTATTAAGTTTAATTCTGATACCTTTAATTTATGGAAAGACCCAAGTTTGAAGTATTTTCATACTACTACTGTATATGCAGAAATGTAGCTTTGGTATAAATTATATTATTGTTAGTTATAAACATAATATGATAGTTATATAGACAGATTAGTATTTTAGTTATTTAAAATATGCTAACAGTGTGTACATTATATATAATTTATATAGTAATTGTTGAATTTTTCTTTTAAAATTTTAGATCAATTTAATTCAGGGAAATGGATAAGAGACAAAGATTTTCAATCATGTCATTGGAAACTATAATGAAAAGTAAGATAAAGCCTCCTCTACAGATGAACCGGGAGGCTAACAGTCAGTGGCCTGATGAGAGAAGAACCAGAGGAGAATGGCAGGGCCTCAACCCTACCAGCAAAGTTCATCAGTGCCCCAACTGTGCGTACACCACAACTGATTCCAATAAACTCAAGAGACACTCTCTGAAGCACACTGGAGAGAGGCCACATTCATGCCCATATTGTTCTTATGGCACTACAAGAAAAGAGCTTTTAAAAGAGCATATAAATATTCACACAGGAGAAAAACCATTTTCCTGCCCATTTTGCTCGTATACTGCTTCTCATAGGAATTATCTGAAAGACCACATACGCAGACACACTGGTGAAAAGCCTTATCTATGTCCCTTTTGTCCATACCGTGCTTCTCAGAAATCTAATTTAAATGCTCATCTAGTGGTGCATAAATCAGAAGGTCAGCCATTATAACTATAAAATCATTGATAAAAACTTTATTACTGAAGAAAAATTGTAATACCTTCTTACAGCTCTTATTTTTTAAATTCCTGAAGATTATTCTACTCAGAGATTATACTGAGACTGTACCCCATAGTCAGTCTTGTTTTATTGTTAGGACATTATCTCAAGTGTCCAGTTCAAGTTCTTCCATGAGAAACAACCTCGGTCCCTCCCACTAGCTCCTGATTTGTTTACTTTCTGGTAGATTTGGGATAAATGTCCTCTAGTATTAGATTGCAAACCATGGTTTAGAAGAAACATTAAAAATTGTAGCACCTTTGCTTATACTAAAATTAGCCATGTTAATATGATTTACATGTACAGTTGAACCCCATAATCTGTGTGATTTAATTGCTGCATTTTCCAGCATACAAGGCACACCCCAGTTTTGGCAGGCATATTCTGGGAAAAAAATAAAATATGTGAGCCAGTGGCTAGCTGCTTATGTGCACAGTGTAGCTAAAAAAAGAGATGGGGTATTGTGCAGGCTGTCCTCTGCTACACTGCCACCAAAACAAACATAGCTGTCTATTGTTTACAGATGGCTACACCCTTTGATATTCGTAATTATAATTACCTAATGACCCTGATACTTTACAGATATTTAGAACTACTGAAGTTGGTTTGCTTATTACATACCAATAAAATGCAAATTATAATTTATAATAGTTAATAATCATTCTAAAGTAATCTGGGAAACAATTTCTAGGGAAGAAGGTTGTTTGGAGGTTTCAATACTGAAACCAACATTTGCCAGTAACCCAAAGCCTACCATTGTTTCTGATCTTGAACATATAAGATGCTGTATGATTTTCTGAGAAACTTTTGGGGGAGAAAACAGTATGTTTTATATTCTGGAAAATATGGTATATGTTTTTCCTGAAGGTCATTTCACAGACAACTTTGATGATTCACGTTTATTCTTGGTACCCATTGTTTGTTTGCTAGTTGCATAACCCCTAAATTGAAAACTAACAATAGAATTTCATTTAAAACATGCTTATTCTTTCTTATAAATGTCAAAATTAAGCAAATTAGAGGAACACTTAAAGAGATGAGCAAAAAACATTTAACTTGAATAAGCAAGATTTCCTGTAAGACATGATTTCAGGATTTACATCACCTCCAGGAACCTAACTCCCATGAATTACAGGGTTCAACTGTCTTAGATTGAGATTGAGTTCAGAAGTCACTGACTGACTAATGGGGCATAGTGTGCAGTATTTCAAGATAATTTTAGTCAGGTCATTTGTGATGCTTAATTTATTACTGTAATGATATTTTGAATAACCAAAATAAGCCTTTATTAACCCATGCTGTTCTCTGATTTGCAAGATTTAGGAATATTTTTAAGACATAATGGCTAAATATTTACTTTACAAAGATAATGTAACCTGACTTCAAAGAAACAGATAGTCTCTTTAGAAACCCCTTTTATATTTGCAATTCTATATACTTTATCTCTAATTAAATGCACTGTAACATTAAACTTCAATAAACAAACCATCTTCTAATAGCATGACAGAGCATCGTTTCACATTTATCCTAATTTTATTATTTAACACAGAAATTGACTTACTACTTTGGGCATATGCAGTATAGATACATAAACCGGGGCAGAAATTATTAAAAGCCAAATATCGTCAAGTGGAACAGAAAGTATATTTAAACAATTGTTAAATCTGAATAGGTCACACAGTATTGACTATATACTTGTGATATTCTGCAAAGTAACTTATATTTTCTGGGAGTGAAAGTCCTTTATTTAAACAGAGCTTCTCTGACAAAGTTTTAACTAGTTGTGGAAGTGATAAGATGTCATGGAAGATGTGGTAAACATGGCCAGTCTTTGATAGATAGTGATTCAATTTTCAGATTAAATGGTGTGAAGCTTGGACTTTCCAAGTGTTCAACTTTTATAAGATAATTATTATTATATTTATGGGGTAGCACTATACTAGTAGGGGTCATACAGTGTCTGGGGAATGGGAAGTAATAAGGTTTGATCTAAACAAGAGGTTAGTTACAATTCCTTGAATCAAAAAACTTTCACTAGCATCATAACATGCTTTTCCTCTTCCACTTGAAGGAGTTATGTAATAGGAATTAAAAGCAGAAATGTCTTCACAAAGGTGGCCTGTGGTACTGAATAAAAGTTAAAAATTAGATGTAGTTATGAAGGCCAGAGCTGTGGTTTGTATTTTTAATTGTTCACTAAAAGTTACCAATATTTCTGCTTGCGGAGTTAGCACCTTTGAGTATTAATTTAAAATTAATAAAATCTTAATCTGCCAAGATCATGATATTGAACCCTGTGAGCAGTGCTTCTTTCTGACTAAAGAAGTTGCAATCTCACCATAGTTGCCAAAAAACATTTTGCATCAAAATAAAAATAATAAATAAAGTCTTTATTTCTAAGAAGCATAGATAAAAGTTACAATGATTGAGAGGTTAATTTTGATTACAGGCTGATACAATGACAAAATTATTTGATACATTTGAATAGTTTAAAAAAAGTCACTTACTGTGCAAAGCATTTGGGGCAAACTAATCTTAAGATTATTCTAATCTTACGGTGGTTTACATTATTTCATATCAGTTTAATGAGGTGCATTTTTTGGACCAGAAGAATTATGGCAATGACAAAATTTCCTGAGCATTTACATCAAGTACTTGACAATGTTGTTGTAGATGTTGGCAAATAGGAAATTTATGGCATTTCAGACAGTTTTTTATATATATATATACAGTGGACCCTCAATCAGCGATATTAATCCGTTCCTGAGAGCTCATCGTTAATTGAAATAATCGTTAGTCAAGTTAATTTTCCCCATAAGAAATAATGGAAATCAAATTAATCCGTGCAAGACACCCCAAAGTATTGAAAAAAAAAATTTTACCACATGAAATATTAATTTTAATACACACAAACTGAAGAAGACATGCACAGTTACATGACACTTACCTTTATTGAAGATCTGGTGATGATTGATGGGATGGGAGGAGGAAAGAGCATTGATCTTCTTAGTGTATAGAAAGGGAATCCCCTTCCATTAGCACTTGAGGTAGCAAGTCTTTTTCTGGGGTTAGTTCCCTTGTTCTTTTAATGCCACTAGGACCAGCTTCAGAGTCACTGGACTTCTGTTACACAACATGTCTGTCCATAGATACCTGTACCTCTCACTCCTTTATGACTTTCCTAAAGTGGTTCACAACATTGTCAGTGTACAGGTTGCCAACACAGCTTGCAGTAGCTGTGTCAGGGTGATTTTCATCAATAAAGGTTTGCACTTCAAGCCACTTTGCATACATTTCCTTAATCTTAGAAGTAGGCAACTTCTTCAATTTCTCTATCCCCTCCTCCGAAGCAGTTTCCTCAGGTCTGCCCTCTTGCTGTTCAAGATGATCTAGCAGTTCATCAGTGGTTAGTTCTTCATTGTCCTCCACCACCAACTCTTCCACATCCTCCCCACTAACCTCCAACCCCAAGGACTTCCCCAATGCCACATTGGATTCCTCAACTGGCATAGGATTCTCAGGGTTAGCCTCAAACCATTCAAAATCCCTTTTGTCTACACATTCTGGCCACAGTTTTTTCTAAGCAGAGTTCAAGGTCCTCTTAGTCACTTCCTCCCAAGCCTTACCTATAATGTTTACACAATTGAGGATGGTAAAGTGATCTTTCCAAAACTCTCTTAGAGTCAGTTGAGTTTCTGAGGTCACTACAAAGCACCTTTCAAACATAGCTTTTGTGTACAGTTTCTTGAAGTTGGAAATGACCTGCTGGTCCATGGGTTGCAAGAGAGGAGTCATATTAGGAGGCAAAAACTTCACCTTAATGAAGCTCATGTCCCTAGAAAGTCGCTCTGCCAAGTCTGAAGGATGACCAGGAGCATTTTCTAATACCAGGAGGCACTTAAGGTCTAATTTCTTTTCAATTAGGTAATTTTTCACATTGGGGGCATATGCATGGTGTAAAAAGTCATAGAAAAAGTCCCTAGTGACCCATGCCTTACTGTTTGCCCTCCACAGCACACACAAATTAGCCTTGACGACATTGTTTTTCCTGAACACTCTGAGAGTTTCAGTGATACACCAATAAAGGCTTCACTTTGCAATCACCACTAGCATTGGCACACATCAACAGAGTAAACCTGTCTTTCATAGGCTTATGTCCTGGGAGTGCCTTTTCCTCCTGAGTAATGTACGTCCTGCTTGGCACCCATGGGACAAGTGGGGCATGCTCAGGCCAAAGTGGACGCGTCTTGAATGGAATGAGTAGCATTGGTCAGGTTTTTAAGGACTAGTCGAGGCAAAATTTTTGCATTAAAATGTATCGCTAGTCAGATTTATTGTTAATCGATGCCATTGCTGGTTGAGGGTCCACTGTATATATATATATATATATATATATATATATATATATATATATATATATATATATAATATATATATATATATATATATTTGGTCCTTTATAAGAAAGGAATTTCTAAACCGGAAGAGTCATACAGATGGTACATTAAACAAGTACCTGTTCCTTGTATTGTGTCTGTGTTCTCTTTCATCTCTAGGTTAATGTTTGTACCGAATGCGCAATTTATTTATTTATTTATTTATTTATTTATTTATTTTTTATTTGGACATGATACATAGTTGTACAAAGAAATATAGTGACTGGGTGCACATGCCAAAAGCCCCTTGTATGCAGAGCATTATGGGCAAGCTTAAAATTAACTTAAGATTAACTAAGCAATGATATATACAGTTCAATTAAGTTTATTAAGTCACAGGTACACACAAGTACAACTATCTTATATAGTGTGCATAGTGTGCAGTAGTGTGCATATTTTGTATATTAACCCTTTCAGGGTCCATCCTGTAGATCTACGGCTTTACGTTCAGGGACCAAACCGTAGATCTACGCCAAAATTCTAGCGGCGTCAAATTTAGCGCGAGAAGGCTGGTAGGCCTACATCTGAGAGAATGGGTCTGGGTGGTCAGTGTGCACACCATAGAAAAAATCTGGACGCCCTCATGGCATTGTGGGAACGCTGGCAAAGTAGCTTTATTCGTCGTGCCTGGCAGCAAGGAAGCTCTCACTCCCCACTCACTCTCGGGGTGAATTCTGACTCTCCTCTTTACAACTTACAGTTCTAAGACTGATGGAAGTGGAGCTGAAGACAAATTCTATGGTTTTGAACCATATGGTACAATGGTGCCATATGGTACAATGGTGCCATGTCATACAATGGTATCATATGGTACAATGGTACCATATGGTACAATGTACCATATAGTACATTGTACCATATGGTACATTGTACCATATGGTACATTATATCATATGGTACAGGGTACAGGGACCCTAATGGAAATAAGTCTGTCTGACTTTTTTGGGTTATCCTAGGTTCTCCAAACATATCCTGCTAAGTATGATATTCTATGTAACTTTATTTGTGTATAACTAAATAAACTTACTTATGATGCCACATGCACTTGAGTAAGTTTATTCAGGTGTACAGAAATACAATTACGTAGATTATCATACATAGCAGCATACGTATAAAATCTTAGGATAACCCAAAAAAGTCAGGGTGACTTATTTCAATAGTTATCCCTGTATCTGTACCATATGGTGTCCTGTACTGTTTGGTACCCTGTGCCATATGGTACCCTGTGCCATATGGTAACCCTGTACCATATGGTACCCTGTACTATATGGTACCCTGTACCATATGGTACCCTGTACCATATGGTACCCTGTACCATATGGTACCCTGCACCATATGGTATCCTTTACTGCATGGTACCCTATACCATATAGTACAATGTACCATATGGTACCCTGTAACATATGATACCATGTACCATATGGTCAATAGGTGTTGGTGGCATGAGACACCAGCCAAGACTGAGTGAGTGGCGACGCAAGCTAGCTACTGACTCCGCAGTTTCCGAGACAAAGTGCTTTGTCATCCACCTCAAGGAACACATCAGGTTCCTGTACACTTGTAAATATATAATAGAACATTACTAATATACAACATTTTTGCATATTTTTGTTGTAAACAACTATTGTAAACAAAATAATAATGAAAATATTAGTGTTTATTGTGTTGAATACAACAGTACCATATGGTACAATGAACGATATGGTATCATTGTACTGTATGGTACAATGTACTATATGGTACCATTGCATCATATGGTACCATAAGGTACCATTGCACCATATGGTACCATTGTATCATATGGTGCCATTGTACCAAATGGTGCCATTGTAACATATGGTACCATTGTATCATATGATACCATTGTATCATATGGTACCATTGTATCATGTGCCATTGTGCCATATTGTACCATATGGTACCATTGTATCATATGGTGCCATTGTACCATATGGTACAATTGCACCCTATGGCACCATTGTACCATATGGTACTATATGGTACCATTGTATTCAACACAATAACTGCACTAATATTTTCATCATTTTGTTTACAGTAAACTTGTAAA